TATCTCTCCTGGCTGGGATCCTCTCTTTAGAACAGAAAAATATCCTATCTCCAAAGCCCAAAGAAATCATCGTGATGAATATGTTCTCTTTCTTGCCATTGTTGTTGATTCATATTTTTATTCTCTTCAAATTTTGACACTTCAGATTTGTAATTAAAGTCTGAGACAGAGAGGGTGGGAGGCATCAGCTCCCAATCAGCATCGGAGGCAGAAATAAGCAAAAACCCCTGTGTAAGATCTTCCCAACTTAACCTCTGTGCAGGACATATGGAAGATCAGGACTGGAGAGTACCCTCTAGAGGTGAATATTAAAAAACAAAGAAGATATCTGGGGTTCATTCTTTAAATCACCAAAGAAATCCAAGTCTCAGCACCTAGCACATTCTGACTATTAAAAAAAAAAACCCTGCTGCATGACTGTAAAGTTACTTAGACATTCTAGGTGCTGTATTTCCAGTGCTTAGAATGCATGATAAGTGATAGATATTCAAAAAATATTAATTGAACAACTATTGAGTACATGTACTAAAGAATGAATGAAAGGCGACTTCCTATAATGTCCACATATGATATTTCTCTCAGGAAGCTCTAGGATGAGAAAGAAGTTTGAAGAACTAGTACTGCCAAAGGGTTAAGTGCTTGGGCTCTGAGATAGACAGACTGGTGTGGAGTCCATTGCTAAGGTTCTCCAGGGAATGACCTTAGGCAAGGGACTGACGCCATCCAGACTTTGGTTCTTGCCTGTGTGAAGTGAGGATATATCGAGTCTACCACTTAGATTGATGTGCTTAGGCTTGCAAAGCCTTTCATGTAGTGTCTGACATTTCTTAAATACTCAATAAGTTTGGGGCACTATTAATGTTGTTCGGTCTTCTAATGCAGAATTCTGCCTATTTCATTAAAAACGAAGAAAAAGGACTTCTTGTACAAAGTGACTTTTCAGTTATTAATTTTAATGAGGGAATACGGTGGATTGAATGATAAATCAAAAGTTATACTCAAGTGGGAGACAGTGATGTGAGAGATGACAAGAGAATCTATGAAGAATTAACATGTGGTAAGGAGTATTAGGAGTGCAAGAGACATTTCCAGGAAGACTGGTGCCCTTGAGAAGCTTACCTGGTTGTTGAGAGCAAAGATGTAGGTACCATCTATACAAATTGGAGGACAGAGAAGAAGAGCTGGGGACAGTCAGGATGAAAAAGAGGTCCTGGTTTCTGGAGAAAGGCTTACTGAGCTGGGCCTTGAAGGATCGATAGGGAGAGGCATGTTGGGATGCTGTCTAAGAGAGTGGGAAACTTGATCAAAGAAAGTAAGAGGAGAGAAGGGAAGGTAGCATTTTGAGGCTATCACCCTGGGGAATGGTCAGTGTACTGTTGTACTTTATGTTGGCTTGAGGTTTGAGCTGTAACACTTCATATTTAAAAATCTAATCAAAATGTTATTTTGGCTTATATGATATTAGAGAATAAGAAATAATTACTAATACCTTTGAAACTTCTGGTATCAAATTCCCCTGTATGAGAGGCAAAGGAAGAAAAGTGGCTTCTTAACACACTCGGCATCTTTGTGCAGAATTCAGAAAGGTAGAAAAGCTAATAACAGCTCTTTCCCTGAAGGGAGACAAACTCCCAACAGTGAGATGTATCATCCTCATAGGAATATGTTCCTTAGAACTCTGTGTCTATGTGAAGCATGTCTTCCAGTAGGAATAGTAGTTTTCCTCCCACCCCCCGCCCCATCCCACCATAGTCCCACCCCAGTCTACATGCTGTGGACGCAGAGGGAGGTTGTCTGGCAACAGAAATATGTCCCTCATCCTCAGCAGAAGCCCAGACCTTACACACACACACACACACACACATTAATACACATATGCATACATGTACACACAAGTACACACACATTCCACATTTTGGGCACTAATACTGCTCCCTTGGTATGCAAAGTTCTACAGTAAGAGGGTAGAGGTTCTAGAGACATATGATGAGACCTCACAATAGGCAAGCACCGAGACACATAGATAGACTCCTCAGGCTCAGGGAGAAGGAACCTTGAATGGCACAAAGCCCCAAGAGCAAGCAGGGGTGACCATCTTTGCAGACCAGGCCAAAGAAGCCAAAACAAATAAGTAACAGATAGATAGATAGACAGATAGATAGACAGACACCTCAAGTGGGATTTTCACAGGTTAAGTGCCTTGGCAACAAGAGGAAAATAAGAAGACACTCTCTAGGTCTGTACCCTGTTGTGACACATTCCCTCAGCTTTGCCAAGTTTCTGTTCCTCAAGATAAACCTGAAGCCCAGGCTGCCAGAGATGAATTACAAAGCACAGGCTGTCTGCTCAAGTGGCATTTGATAATGCCATGCAGTCGGGGGCCAATAAATTCACCGCTTCTGCAGATCAAATGCACCAGCTTCCTTTTTTTAAAAAAAAATAAATTTATTTATTTATTTTTGGTTGAGTTGGGTCTTCATTGCTGCGTGTGGGCTTTCTCTAGTTGCGGCGAGCGGGGGCTACTCTTCGTTGCAGTGCACAGTTCTCCCACTGCGGTGGCTTCTCTTGTTGTGGAGCACAGACTGTAGGCACGCCGACTTCAGTAGTTGTGGCACGCGGGCTTCACTAGTTGTGGCATGAGGGCTCAGTAGTTGTGGCTCGTGGGCTCTAGAGCGCAGGCTCAGTAGTTGTGGCACATGGGCTTAGTTGCTTCGCAGCTTGTGGGATCTTCCCGGACCAGGGATCGAACCCGTGTTCCCTGCATTGGCAGGTGGATTCTTAACCACTGTGCCACCAGGGAAGTCCCAAATGCACCAGCTCCTAAACACGCACAACCCTGCTCTGACACCCGTGCCAAAAGAGAGACAGGGCAGGGAGGGAAATGGGGAAGGGAACTACCGGGATGGGTAATATTTTTATCCATTCTCTACGTCTTGTAAACTTCTAGAGTGTTGCATGGTTATGACAGTGTCATTTCTCTTGTTTGGGACTGCTATGGAGGGAAGACAGGTATGACTGCAGGAAAATTCTGATTTATGAAATTGAATCTTTAAAGAATTGGCAGTTTAGTCATTTAAATATGTAACAGCCTCTCGAACATATGCGAAACCAGCATGAGCTTCCCTGGTGCGTAGTCCTTATGGAGCCGAAATAGTGAATAACTATCAATAAATATTATTTGTAGTTAACATATCGTTATTGGGAGGTAGAGTACTTCTGAAAATTTACATCTTCCACATTCACGGGGGATCCACAATGCATAAGAAAGTGTTCTGGCTACTGTTACTGGCCCCAAATGAGGCTTGTTTTCCTAAGTAGTTCACAGTATTCCGCCCAGAAACTCGTTTATACCATTTATTTGCTTAACAGATTTGTTGTTCCAAAGGAGTACAAAGTTGGCTCAACTCTAAATGATCCCAGATGCCAAAACAGCAGGTACAAACTAATGAGGTTTGTGTCAAAAGCAAAGGCAAAATGTGCATGTTCCATTGATCGAAGCCCAGCCTCTTTGAATTGACAGTCAGAGCTGTATTTGTTGAAAGAATGTTGGAAGTCCAACAGATTTGGGTGTGAACTCCAACTCTCTGTTATCTTAAGCAATTAAAATTTCCTTATGCCTTGGTTTCCTCATCTGTAGAATCGGGATAATAGCTGCTATGCAGGTTTATAGTGAATATTGGAGGTTTTACATATAAAGTACTAGGTATAGTGGTTCATATGTGACAAGGACTGATACCATGGTTTCATCCTTCTGCTTAAAAATTTTCATATTATAATATAAAGGGGCTGAGTTAAGTTAAATGGGTTCAAATATGCTTGCTAGCTTATTCACTTACTCCGTCTGTGCTCCAGAAAGACACTTAATCTAAGTTTCCGTTCCCTCATCCTCAGATGAGGCTGATGGTAACTATATCTCCTGGCTTTTGTGAGCATTAAATAGGATAACCTTTGCATAGTGTTGAAATGCACTTGTCAACACATTTCAGACCCTTTTTTCACTGCCCTCAAGTTTTCCTGGGTTGTCATAATTTCAAGCAGAGACAAATATATATATAAATATGTTTCTTAAGTTCTAAAACGCATGAAAAACATGACACAATTAATGATTTGCTACTGCACAGTTTGGCAACTTCTCAATTGTTACCTCTTTCCTAAGGTATAAACAAGAGAGAAGGCAATCATATTTTCAGAGCCAAATAATTAATAAGGACTGTTTATAGTAGGAACAATAGTGTTACAGAAGTGGAGGAGGGATTATTTGACAATTTAGGGAAACCACTGCTTCTTTAAGTTTAAAAGCTGTTCTCTTTTGCTCAATGTATTTTGGTAGCTTAATAGAGAGATCTTTTACAGAAAAAGAAGAGTAACAGTAATTGGATCCTGAGTTTTAACTGACCTCTTTTAATTGCCCAAGGCTGTAGATAGTGCAGTGATTTAGTCATTAAGGGCAGGGGCTGTGAAGCCACAGAGCTCTGGGTTAAAATCTCTGATGCACCACTTACTATCTGTATAACATTAGGCATTGTGACCTTGGGCAAGTCACTTTACCTGAGTGAGCCTTAGTTTCCTCATTTGTGAAACAGAGTAAGTGAGACTTATCCAGAAGGACCATTATAAGAATTAAGTGAGATAGAGTATTTAAGACTATGAGTGCTATGCCTAAAATAAAAGTAACCCCTATTTATTTATCATTTGTCAAGCACAGAACCAACAGCATTAGAGTTTATCTGTAGGCAACAGTAAGCTACTACCAACCTACCTTAGGGGAGATAAGAAGCCTCTATCATATTTGCATTAAGACCCTCATACCACAAGGGGCACGGGTCTGTTGTCTTCTGTCCCAGGGGGTCATTATACACAAGCATGACCCTCACCCTCTTTCCTCCAAGACAAGTGCTCACAGCTGAATTTGACAGTCTTTTTTTTTTTTTTTTTTTAAGTAAAACAAATAGATTTCTTCTTAAATTGATGTATTTTTCAGCCATGTCGATTTTTCCCAGGTAGCAGGGATAAAGGGAATGTTCTTGGCTAACAAGAAGATTGACGACCAAGTGAAGACTTTCATCACGTACAACAAAGGCAGAGACTGGCATTTGCTGCAGGCCCCGGACACGGACCTAAGGGGGGACCCTGTGCACTGCTTGCTGGTGAGTCTCCGTATTGGGGCAAAATGTCCCACACGGTGAGGGCTGGAGATGGAGGTTCAACAAGCAGAGGAACATATTTCCAGGGCTTCTTGCTCAGCTGATGAACAGAAGGGGACAGGGAAGGGTGTGAAGGCAGTGTGTAGAAAAGCAGCATAGCTCTGCCTCTTGTGATTGGACCAAAGTGATAAGAGAACATGAGTAAGTTTCTTGCTCATTTTAAGGATGTTCAGTTGATGCCCAATTTCTGATGAGAACCTCATATTGTAGTTTAAGGGAGAGTATGATAGTTTCCATCTATGGTGGGGAAACGTACCCTTACTTTCCTGGGAATAACCTGTTTTGGATCTAATGATACATAAATTCAGCTGTAGAATTGATGAACTGAATGCAAAATTGTGTAGGTGTATTTTCCAGTGGAGATGTTTATTCATATTTTCAGAGGAATTTATGCCTCAAACCAAGGTAAGAACCACTGATTTAAATCCTTAATCAGTACACTTTATAATATGTTCCATTCATTTATGTCATTGTATAAAGTTGGTGTTGGTAAACCATGGCCTGTGGGGCAAATCTGGCCCACTGCTTGTTTCTTTAAATAAAGTTTTATTGGAATGTAGTCATGCTTATTCATTTATATATTGTCTATGGCTGCTTTTGCTCTACAATGGCAGACTTGAGTAGTCATGACAGAAACTGTACGGTCCACCAATAAGATATTTATTATCTGGCCCTTAAAAACAAAAGTTTGTTGACCCCTGCTTTGAAGTATGGCTTTTTAAAAATTGTCTAACATTTGGGCAATAGGTAGATCAGATCAATGTATTTGTGTATTTGATTATATGATGGTATCCAAGAGAGGGATCAAAAATGGGTCTTGCCTTCAAGGAGTTTGCTGTCTACCTGAGGGGGAATAGATTAATGAGTGAAAGATTATAAGGTCACATCTCACTCCTCTTAGTAGTTCTGGGGCCTGCCCTGCACTTGACACATGAATAGTTACGAGTGAATGAAGAAGGAGGGGAAGAAGAGATTACTTGTAAAACAAAGAATCATTAAATGCTAATTTCTAGAAAACAATTCCAAAATTGTATTTAAACGCCTGAAAAGGAGAGACCAGTCTGTAAAGCTAGAAGAGACACCTCTTAGTTTTAGTAAGAAGGGCTTGATTCATATCAATATTCCCACCCGTCATACAATCTCAACTTAAATGTTTTGCACACTCAGCGTGCTTCCTTCTGTCCCATGAAGTCTGAGCAGTCACTTTGCAGGTGCATCTCCTACAGCTGTAGGCGGGTCACCCTCCCAGTCGAGAAGATGCCAGCAGCCATAGCTTGACCTTATTAGTTGCAGAGGATATCGCAGTTGTCACCACGCATCAGGGGAAGCAGTTTGAAATTCAGCCTCCCACTCAGCTTCTATCCTTATTACTGGCAACTTACGGAGGTGGAGTGTGGGGGAAAGCCATTTGTTAGAGTAAGTACACAAATCCAGTTGCAGAGTAAGTAAATGTAACAGTCACTTACTGAATGCCTACTCTATACAAGACATGCTTCAGTAGCCTTTTAAAGACATGCCCACCTTCCTCCTTCAGCAGTTCCACACTGGAGCAATGTGGTATTTTAGCCAAAGATGCACGAGATGCACCAGTGTCAACGTGGTCCTCCATCCCATCATGTGTTTTGGTGATTGAACGTCCATGAGCGAGAATTAACCATATCACCTGAAGAGGCTTTCCTGGGTGCTCTGGCATCATAAATGGACCATTAGAAATGCCTCTTACACAGAGCACTTTGGGAGGTGTTCTTGGCTCCACCCCCAGCCCAGCGTTAGGAAGTCTTGCTGCTGTGCCTCTGAATTATAAATGCAGTATCAGCTCACATCCCCATCTCGGCTGGGACCATCCTAATATAAGCCACCATCATTCTTCCCTTCCCCTTTCCTTCATGGGAACAGTGACAGGCTGTTCCTCCTGTCTCTACCTGGCAATCTCGTCTCTCCATAGCAGCCAATGCAACCTTTTTTTTTAATCCAACTTTACTGAGTTGAAACATGCATACCTAAAAAGTACGCATTTTTAAGAGTTCAGTGATAAATCTTGACAAATGTATAGACCCGTTACCACAGTCAAGACAGAACATTTTCATCACCTAAAACATGGCTTTGTGCCTCTTCACAGGCACTATCCACACCCTTGGCCCCTAGACAGCCTCTGATCTGCTTTCTTTCCTGAGAGATTAGATTGCTCTTTTCTAAAATTTTATGTAAATGGTATCAACCTGAGCTTTAAAAATCGGAGCATGTCCCTCCTACACTTAACCTTCTAATGACTTTCTAATTCGGGTGGAATGAAATTCAGATACTTAACATGGCCTGCAAGATTCCACAAGGTCTGGCCACTGTCTGTTTCTCCTGCCTGGTCTCCAGACTTTCCTTCCTTCCTTCCGTATAGGCCACAGTGGGGGAGAAGGGCGCACCTTTCCATACCATTAGCTCACCGCCCTTGTTTGTGTCCCAGGCTCTGCATTTGCTGTTATATCTCTTAAAATGCCCCTCTCCTAGTGTGTTTTTTTCTTGGCATTCAGACCTTTGCTTGATTACCTTCATCTCGGAGAGCTTCCTCGAGCATTCTCTGAAGTTGCACTTGGTCCAGTCTTTTTTATTCGTGACCTTCCTCACTCTCTTAAATCAGCACGTGCATTTGGTGACTTGCTTGTCCACCTTCCCCCACGCACTGTGAGCTCCATGAGCATAGGGACTGTGGCTGTCTTTTTGGTCATTCCAAAGAACTAGCTCAAGAATCATACTTGACACATGGTAGGTGCTCAACACATCTGTTGTTGAGGGTGTTGTCTTTGAAGCAGACACGCCAGGGATAATAGACGTTTGAGTTTCATATCTGGACTTTAGTGGGAGCCTTTCCTTGCCATTCATAGTCACACTGAAAGATTTGTCATAATATCCACCTTCTGAAGCTCATGGACATCAGTTGACCCCAAAGTTGACCAAATCAGTAGAGGCTCGTTAAGATTGAGGAAAGAGGAATTAATGAGACATGGATGTATGGTACCCAAGAGTCTTTTGACCTTCCTCCCCCATTAACCCTGTTGTTTAATGTAGTTTTAATCTGAGCTTTAGAAAACAGCAGTAGGGTGAGGAGAGGAAAAATGAAAGAAGGAAGGGGAAACCACAATAATTTTATAAAACTCTGCCAAGGCACACAATAGGAAAGAAAATCTTTGAGCTCCAGGAGACCCAGACTGTTAAAACCTTCCTCAGGCTTGGGAGCTGGTAGCAGAGAGGAGACAAAAAGTGATTTTTAGATTGTGAATACTTGGAAAGTGACAGTGTCACCGAAAGCACAGCCTAGTGATTAGAAAAGAGATTTTTTTTCCAGCAGGGCTATTACAAATGTGGAACAAGTTCAGAATTGCAGCCCCAAATGGAATGTTCCTGGTAAAATGTATTCTATAGAAATAAGACATCCAGGGTAATTTGAGGCTGTATTTTTAGGACTTTTAGAGTGATTGCCTGGAGGGTTCAGCAGGGATTTCTTTCCTCTGAAGACTGCATTGTACAATTAGATGGGGTGTTACAGGCCATGGTCCACCTGACTCCAGAACCTCAGGCTTGGGCTCCCAAGAGGCGAGATGTGAGCTGAGCCTGTGACGAGTCCTCAGGCCCTGAGGGGAGGCATAGTGTTTCATGGAGAGAGGCCGTGACTTCTTCGTGGATTCATTTAGTAGTTTCCTACTGGAGCTAAGCAGCCAGCTACCCCAGGAGACTCTCGATTCTGCTTCCCCCGCCTTTGTACTGGTTGTGACTCTCCACGTTCTGCTGAACTGGAGCAGTGCTGAATGCCCCATACCCAGCCAACTGGCCCAGAGACCTCCCTCTACTTTGCCATTGACTCCTTACTAAAAATCAAATGGATTCCATGCTCCAACTCAGGAGCAGAAACTGCACAAATGCGTGTGTAGGATGTGGATTTGAGGAATACTTTCTGGGAGCCTACCTGCTGCCTTATTTGTGAAAGCTCTAAGCTGGCTTTTCAGTACAGTATTCAGATTAGGAGCCTTTGGGTTAAAGGTACCATGAAGATGAGATGTAAAGCTATTAATTCAGAGATTAGGGGTAAAGAGGAAGTGAAATGAGAAGCTGGTTGACTCTCAGATACGGAACGGTGTTTTAGGTTGATTGATTTCATGGCGGGGGAATGTCTTGCATCATTTAGTACTTCTCCACTGGCCACTCACAGTGCTAGGAAGACAGCAGCTCAGCTCGTTCATGGATCAGTTGAATTCAACAGGCATTTACTGAACACTTGCAAGGGCCAGAAGATTTTGTTGGTTGAAATAAGAAATAAAAGAATAAGGCAGAAGAAAGGTCATTGGAGCCTAGAGGTCCACGATGGGCTTTGAGAGTTTGTGAACTCCCTGAATTTGAATGCAAAGCTCTGTGTGTGTGCTTCCTTTGTGTGCTTTTTCTTGGGAGAGAGTTCTCAATTTGCATCAGATTCTCAAACTCTGTACTTGACCCCGAAAAGATTAAAGACTAAGGATCTAGTTGCTCTGAGTATTGACCAACTGATGATAATCCCATGCCCCTTGACTATGCGTGAGTCAGGGCAGCAGGCAGCTTCCAAACATGTATGCTGGTCCCTCCCTTCTTGGTGGGTCAGCTATTAGGTCATGGTGGTTTCAGTGTACAGTTCTGTATGTTTTTAATATGAAAAGTCAAGGGAAATAGAGAAAGGTCTTTGGGATAAGCTGTGTTTTAACTCATACGGAATTGGAGATAACTCTGGAAAGATGTTCGGATATTCAGTATATGTTCGCTAATGGGAGAGAAGGCGGCAGGAAGGCAGAGGTGCACAGAGTGCCTCCTGCCTGGGAAAGATGTGCCTAAGAATTGGAGAACCTTGTCTTGTGTTTTCCAGGAGTTTGCTATGGCCTGATAGCCATTATAACAACCCCTGTATTAATCTTCGGTGACTTAATTTTGATAAATGTCTCAAGCTGTTCAAGTATAAAAGTTTAAGTTAAAAGAAGTGAATGTGAATCACTTAACATTGTTTTTCTGTAAACACTGATGTGGACTGTATAACTTCCTTGAAAAAAATGGAAGAAAGGAGAAAAAAAAGCCACAGAATATTTTGCTTGTACCAGTTGGGGGCAATCCAGTACTACAAATGTGAGAGTGGAGAAAAAAAGTCCACGAAAAAGATCATTTCTGATGTTGTTGCTACTGCATGAACTGGTGTCTTTTCTTCCCAAATTAATTCATCTCAGGCCTCTGAAAGCCAGAGCAACAGAGCAGCGTTGAAATGGCTAATTGAAAATGCCCTCTTTCTCTTGTAATGGCAAGTGACCTCTATCAAATAGTCCTTGGGTCAGGTGGCAATTTAGGTTCACAATCTTCCAGACTGCAGGGTGATGAAGTACGTGGCCAGTGGCTGGCTCAGGACTGCAGCCTGGGTGCTCCCTGGGCCAGGGATGTCCTGCTCTGTTGGGGGGTACAAAAGGCCCTCCACTAAGCCCGTATGTCTAGGTATAATCCCCAAGTAGTGATCACTGCTTTGAATGCCATGGAGATCCTCACATTATTCTGGTGATGTGGTTTATACGTGAGCCCATGTACTTCTGGCGTTGTTCTGAGTAAAACGGTAAAGTAAGGTCTTTCGTGTCCTAACTTGAAAGTGTTGCTTGATATTTCAAGTGTTCATCGACTGTCTTTTTTAGATTCTATGTGAGGTTTTACAGAAGATGCAAAGTAGTACTTGATGTTTCCTCTTTATTTGTAGAGTATCTCTCTTAGGGGGATAAAACTGCATACCTCAGATAGATGATCCAGGATTGTATGGTAAAATCAACTGTGGTACATCCGAGAACGAGATCCTGACAGGCCGCAATTGTCAGGAAAATTTTCATGGAACCATGGTCTGACACCTCTGCTTTATCCTTTCTCAGCATCTGCCTGAGTGTTGGTCAGCACTGCCCTGGGGCCTCTACAACATACAGTACCCGCTCTAGTCTTCCTCTTGGACAAAAGGAAGCCAAGTTTTTGGGTCTGATTGTTTCTTCTTATAGGGGTGGTCTTCTTACTCTTATGGAACATTGTAGAGTAAAAATGCCTTTTTTGAAAGCTTTACATGAAATTTTCATGCAAAACCAATAATTTATTACGATCATCATTCCTTTATTTATTTATTTTTTTGCCTTTATTTATTTATTTATTTGCCTTTATTTTGCCTTTATTTATTTATTTATTTGCCTTTATTTATTTATTTTTTTTGTATGTGGGCCTCTCACTCTTGTGGCCTCTCCCGTTGCGGACGTGCAGGCTCAGCGGCCATGGCTCATGGGCCCAGCCGCTCCATGGCATATGGGATCTTCCCGGACCAGGGCACGAACCCGTGTCCCCTGCATCGGCAGGCGGACTCTCAACCACTGCGCCACCAGGGAAGCCCCGATCATCATTCCTTGAGACTTTACTCTCTGTGTTGGCAGTGAGGAAGAGACCCTATTATGAGCCACTGTTTTATTTCAGCGGTGTTTTGGCTGCTTTTATTCCTGAGTTTCATTTTTAGTTTGTCATTTACTGTGTCCCATATACGTGTAATCATTGTATCTCTGTAGCGCTCTGAATACCTGCTGGCTGAGACTTACAGAGCCGAATGAAAGTAATAACAGAGATACATTGGTGATTCCAAAAACTCAAGTCTATAAGATTAGAAATAATCTTCCTGAGAGTTGAAAAGAGATGTGGGTTCAGACACAAACTTGTAGTTTTTGACAACTCAGTACAAGAACTATTTTAAATGAAATTTGTATAAGATTTATTATCCCGTTTTGAAAAACTGTTGCATGTCTTAATCTGAGAAGTTGATCGAGATTTTTACACACAAACAAGTCCCTTAAATTTTTATTTAAGTTGTTATTACTAGTGCATTTTGTCTATAAGAATGACATTTATATCGAATAACACTGGGTCGGTTAATACCCTGACACAGACGCTATGTCAGTTGTCTGGTGGATGTCAGGACAGTTTCACACGTCATACGGCTTCTTCTGTAGAAGTGAGACCAAGGTTTCAAATGTCTAAGAGATGCCAAGTGACTTCTTCAAAGCCCTCCCAGCCTGGCCAAACTTTCTTTCCAATGTCATATATCATTTCTCCTCATTGGTGTTACCTGACTATCTGTTGTATTACAGCTCAATTCTTCTGTTTCTTTTCCTCGTTATTGATCTTCCTTAGGCCTGAAATGTCCTTTATCCTCCTGAACATCTCATGTGCAGTTCATATCCTACCCACCTTTGCCTCAGGCACCATTTTTTCCTGGAAATTCCCTTCATCCAAAGTTGGACATAGGCTCGTCATCCTCTAGAATTTCATATTTTGTCTGTGCTGATCTCATGGCTATTAAAATATTCTCTTTTGATAATCAATAGAAGGATCTTAAATTATATACTCCTTAGGTGGCAGAGACCAAACTTCAGTCAATGTAACTCTTTCATAAGCTACACCGCGTGTTTTACAGATAAAGTGCTAAAATGTTTGTTGAATGGCCAAATGGCAATTATATCAGTAGATTAGACTTCAAATGAAGGTGCTCTCTCCTTCACCACTGTGGCAGCTGTTTTATACTTAGTGGCACCAGATATTTGTGGAATGAAAGATGGGTGGATGGATGGGTTCATAGATAGATGGATAGATGGGATGGTTGGATGAATGTCGGGTGCTCTGAATCTGAGCTTTAAACGAACATTTAAATGATGTGCTTTTATGACCCTCATTTCTCCTCTTCTCAGCCCTATTGCTCACTACACCTTCACCTTAAGGTCTCTGAGAATCCCTACACATCAGGGATCATTGCCAGCCGAGACACAGCTCCCAGCATCATAGTGGCTTCAGGTAAGAAGCTTGCCCGGTTTGCTCACTGCTGTAAATTGTATTTATTTTAACAAGTTAGATATCTGAGCTTGGAACTTAATGAGCAAGTTAAAATTTTTTTGAAAGGCACCTAAGCCATTGACTCTGAGGCAAGTATGGTGAAAAACCCTGCTCAGATATAATGTTTGCAGTCTAAATCCATCTCGGGCAATGCACACTGCCAGCATAGCCCATTGTTAGCTTTTGCAAAAAGTTCCCTTCACTGATGGTGATGTGCTCTCTCCAGGAAACATAGGTTCTGAGCTGTCAGACAGCGACATCAGCATGTTTGTCTCTTCAGATGCAGGGAACACTTGGAGGCAGGTAAGAAAGTATCCTGGGTCTGGTTACTGAAGTTTAAATGTTATAAAAATTCTCCAGCTTGGTTCAATTCTGGGAACTTATTCATCCACACATAAATCCTAAAGCTTATCGATGTGTTTCTTTTCCTTTTTGTTTTATGAATGTCTTTCAAAATGTTTTGAGCTTAAGCAAACATTTATGAAATTTGATTTCTTTGTTTGATAAAAATGACCCTTTATCCCACCGTATATGTGAGAAAGTTTATAAGTGACAATGAAACCAAATTAGATATGACTGAATTTTCCCCATGAAATGAAAACTAAAATTCTGGGCAGTTTATTATGTAGGGAACGTGAAGCCTGGAAGAGAGCTTATATACCTAACACCGGGTTACCTCCATAAATTCCCCTTGCCTTGAAGTCAGAAACGAGGGGAATGCAGTGATATAGAAATAACCATTACCCAGGTAGTGTTCTGAGGTGTTTAAAGCTCATGGGCAAAAGACAGAATAATAACCATCAGGGTGCATATGTTAGGGAAAGTAGAAATGGAATTACTTTCAACCAATGTGTTTAGCTTAAATGCTTCCTCTTTCTTCTGAATGAAAATTAGATACTCCCAGGTTATAAAACAGACACTTAATGAGGTTTAGGAGTCATAAAAAGATATGTGCCTAATGCATGGTTGTTACACTTCAATAAATATGTGTTAATAAGCCACTGACATTTAATTATCATACGGTAACTAGCACCTTAAATTGAAATCTAATGCACAGGTAATCACACAGCAACAAGAACACTCTGCTTTAAATTTTAGATAGAGATATCCATGTTACGGTCTCGTTACCATTTCCTAGCTTCATAGATCTGCGCTGCAATTCACGTGCTTTAAGAAGAGTGGGGCAGGAAAGAAACTTGCTTAAGAAACTCCGGGGCTTTTGATCTTGGAGATATATAGGCGCTATATAATGGACTATTAAGCTTCCTATGGACAATAGTTAGAGAGCCAGGGTGTCTTTTTTTTTTTTCCTTCTAACATCCCAAACAAAGCAAAGAAGCCTCTCCTATAGTCCTGGGAAACATCTTGGGTATAAGAAGTAAACAAAGGGGAAACAATGATGTCTATAGTGTAACCAAAGACAAGGCTATACTAACAGTGTGACTGTGAGAAACAGTACGCATCTTGTATGGAGAGGACTTAGAAATTGTTTTCAACCGGTCTCCATTTGACCTCAGATTCATCTCTCCACATATGGGGAGAGACCCAATGACACACGTACCCAAAGATAGATTTCATTTTGATCAGACTTTATGACTACAACTACTTTATGACTACTGTTGAGTTGAACAAGAACATCTGCCCCCTGTAATACCTGGAAACTTTGAAATAATTACATCTGGAAAGGGCACTGTTAACGCTGCAAGTCCCAGCGCCGTCAATTACCATCTACAGGGTCTTAGGGAAGTCACCACTTCTCTCTAAACCTTACTTTTCTCGTCTGTAAAAATGATAATGTTGGAATAAAGTATCTCTTATGTTTCTTCCATCTAAAGATGTTATCCAATATGACAATTCCCCCTTTCTTAATTTTTAAAAAGACAGTATGCAATTCCACTTTGGTTTTATATACACTCTGGAGGGCAGCTTGAATTAATCGGATGATGACTGGAAAAGAAATAAGAAGCAAAATTATAACTACTCCGGCAGCCCCATAATTTATTAAAATATGCATAAAGGAATTACCCTTAAAATAACTTTGTAAGTTTTGTAAAAATTCTGCAGCAGCCTTAGAGGGATTCATATCATATTGAGAGGCTGCAATATCATGAATTTGTTTATGTAAATGTTCCAAATCAATTCCTAAATCACTAGAATTTCATACATTTAAAATGTGCATTTGAATTTTTTCCCATGAATATTCAGAATGATTTACTTTTAAGGGAGTAACACATATCCAAGAATATTTTTTATGGCATGTTAAAGATAGGTGAATTTTTAAAGCAGTAAGTTCTTGACCAATATGTAAAACTGCTTCTTCAAGGGCATCAACTTTAGTTTCTAACTTTCTATCTATTGCTTCCTGAGTTGCTAAAGCCAAGGATATATTTTTTGATAAATCATTAGCATATTGTGCTGTTTGTACTTCTTTCACTAAAGCATATGTTGCAACAGTAAAAGAACTCAATATTCCTATCAAGGCGGAAATTCCCAAAACCAAAGTAGCCACAAATCTTTTTGGCCGTATGAGCTCTCCAACCTGTCTTACAATTTCTGCCCCTATATCTGTATACCAAGATTCATTAAGCGCTACTGGCAGCATTATATAAGCTGGTCTTTTTAACACCATTATGGTTGACACATTCATTTCAGGAACAATGCAAGTGGTTAGTATGCATTGCTGACAGGTAATATAAAACCTCATATTACACTGCTTAATCTGTAATTTTTCACTATCATTAGAAAGCAATAAGGAATACGGAGATGACACACAGGTTTGAATATAATACTCTTCCACATGGGTAGTAGCTCTAACTAGCGTTATTTTATGAGTGGTTAAGGGCAATCTCCATAACTGAGATTGATAATAGGTTTTATTTTCATGAACAAAAGTATAAATAGGAGCCACCCATCCATGATTATTCCATCTATTTACCTTCAATGGACGGGGAATATAGGAATCATTCCATGGGTATATCAAGGCTTTATCTAAATATGTTCTATAATCTCCCTCAGGAAAATTAATACTCCAATCTGAAATATAATATTTAGTTCCAGGAATGGATATTTTATTTTCTTTATTATACATACAATATATCCATGAAGGATATCCAGTTTTAATATCTTTCCAAATCCATTCATCTGTAGCTTTCCCTGCAGCCTCATCACAATCATCATATCTAGGAGGATGAACATCTTTAGCTGGATATTTATTAACATAAACTTGATTTTGTCCTACAACTTTTCCTAACAATGACCATAGATATCTTGTGGTTTTATCTCTTCCTACTGGCTCTTTAGGGGAGTCTGTCAAGAATCCTGCATCAACTACTGACAAACACCCATTCTTTGTTTGACTATTTCCTATTGACCCTGAGCCAAGAAAAAAGCATATTGGAGGAAAGTCAGTCTGACCTGTAAATGAGTAATTAAAATTGATTACAAATTGTTTATAGCCCTGTATTCCTCGAATGCCATCGGTCAATTCAGGAAATGAGGAAGTTACTGGAATAATAGAATCTCTCCAAGTACATGCATGTAAGATAGGAGGATCTGGAAAGTAAGCCCAATACGTACCATTGGCACTTACCTGAACCGAAAGCAAGCTAAGCATAGCCACAAAAAAATTAGCAGTCGTCAAAGGCAATCCTTGAGCATTCACAGCATTTTCAGCATTCAGGCAAAGCCTTTTAATTGCCCCCCAGGTTATCGGAGCCGCTTCAGTGGTGGAGACAGCGTACCTTCTCTTTCGTGAACGAGAAGGCAATGAAGGCTTTCTCTCCGAAAGTTTTGGAGAAGCTTGTACCTCTTTATCGCAAGATGATATAAGTGACAGTTGTTTCATCTGGGGGACTAACGTCGCAGCCACAAGACTATCTGGTTTCACTTTCTGTGGATGTGGCTCCGCCATCTCGGCAGTGAAATTTCTTTTCTAAAAGACGCTTCGATAAGTTCCCCACCTCAGGGTGTCTGATTAATCGATCAGGAATCCAAATTGGTGAATCAAAATTCTGGGGAAAAATACAAGCGTATCCTCTACCACTAGTTAATAATGTATCTGGCCCGTTCCATTTTCCTGTTAAAACATCCTTTCATAATACCTTTGGTTTTATATTTTCTTTATTTATCTCCCAATGTCTCATCATAGGAGTTCTTTCTTTATCATTCATATTTAAATAATTTAATACAAACATAGAATGATTAAGTAAATGATGAGGAGAAAAATATTTTAAATCTCCATATTGCAATTTATAAATCATATTTTTTAATACCTGATTGGTTCTTTCAATTATAGCTTGTCCTTGTGGGTTATAAGGAATTCCTGTACTATGGGCTATGCCAAACTGTTGGCATAATTGCTGAAAAGATTTAGAAACATAAGCAGGGCCATTGTCAGTTTTTAACTTTCGGGGAATTCCCAAATAACTAAAACAAAACATCAAGTGCTGGCACACATCCTTAAAGGCCTCTCCGGTCCTAGCTGAGGCTACAATTACATGTGAAAAGGTATCCACACAGACATGTACATAGGACAGCTTTCCAAAACTAGGTACATGAGTCACATCCATTTGCCACAGATCATTAGCTCGCAAACCTCGAGGATTTACTCCTTGCTGAGGTACATTAGTTTGTGTAGGGCACACAGAGCAATTTTTTACTATTTCCCTTGCTGCTTCTCTGGTTAGGCTAAACTGATATCTTAAGGCATTAGCATTTTGATGATGCAGCTGATGAGATTTTATTGCTTCTTGTACTTTATTTTCATCTACCATAAAAATTTTAGTCAGGGCATCAGCAGAGGCATTGCCCTCTGCTAAAGGCCCTGGCAATCCAGAGTGAGCTCTAATGTGGCCTATATAATAAGGCTGTGTTCTTTCCCATATACTTTTTTGTAGTCTCTTAAGCAACTTAATTATTGTACTCTTATTTTCAGGAAAGGCTGCTGTTTCTATTGCTGGAAATAATTTAACTATATATAAGGAATCAGTATATAAATTAATTTTTTTATCCCTGGTTAATTTCATCACTTCTATAACTGCCATAATTTCTGATTGTTGTGCTGAGCAATTTTCTGTATTTAATACTTTCTTTTCATTATTAATAATATAGGCTGCCCTCCCTGAGGAGGATCCATCAGTAAATACCAATATGGCCTCTTCCAAAGGTTTTATCTTGTAATATGTAGGAAAAACCACCATATGTTCCTTAAAAAACTGTAACAATACACTTTTAGGCAAATGAAATAAAATCTGACCTCCAAAGGAGGCCAGGGCTATTCCTAATGAATCTTCTAACAACAGCAA